ACTCGTGAAATCGTTTTTTAGGGGAGAAAATCTTTTAAGTTGCGGAAAATAATACACTATGTACAAGTATGTAATCTAGCCTGAAAACAAATGAGATACATGTTTTAAATATATAAGAAACAGTTGTTTAGAGATTGCGAAGGTATAACTGTGCCTTGATGGTCGATATAAAGGACGAAGTCGCTCTGTACACCGATCGGGTCCAGAATAAACACTGTAAAGACTGGATATATCTAGTAAATATAGTCGGAAGCATTGTGGAAACGTGCAAATTGTGCGTGCAAAATGCGTGTCATATCAGGGGCATGATGCTCTTACCATTTTGAAGTATCCGGCAACAAGCTGTAGCAAACGTCGACCCACATTAGGCGGCCATGGATACCCAGACCCAAAAACTTTTTGATCCCCAATGAACGCTATTTAACACTGTCGTGTCACCTTTTCCAATTACACTTTGGTTGGCCGAGGTAATACAAGAGATTACAAGATGTTACTACACTGCTCCTGTTATCTTACGTGTTCCTTCAGTTCTGCTGCAATTATATCTACCTAGTGGGAACTCAAAGCATTATTTCAGACATTCAATTACCTTCCTAAAGTTTTTTTTTCCTTACTCTGCTTCAACAACTTGATTACATTGTTTGGCTTGGTTAAGAATTGCCCGTTGCAGGGCAATTAATTTTCAGAGCTTAGTTCCAGGTTTAATTTCCAAGCGTTATGGTTGATATTGGTTTCTTCCTCAAGGTAAGAAAAACTGCACTGAATTATCGATGAGAAGTACCGTATAGAATTTTGGTATGCAAAGTTTGGCGACAAGTGGAAGCTCCGCCGGGACTGCAGAGGAATGACCTGTCATAACAAGCAGATCCTCACTGGCTACAGATATTTCTGCGAATGTGTTTATAAAATAGGAAAGGTATCAAGCGACTGGTACATCACATGCGAGAGTTGTGTGTCCGACGATGCAATTTACACCAGAACACTGCGCACTCTTTGAGAAGGGAATATACAAATTTTTTTGGGAGGCATTTTATCTAAGATCGACGCCATAGTGAACTAACAGCTCTATTGTGAAAAAAAAAAAACTGTTACCTTTGAGTACGTCATCAAGCTCGAAAAAGCAGGTTGAAGAAGACGCGAGCGGTGAACATAGACTCCGGAAGTTTCGTATTAAAGAAAAAAGGATTTCTAATTTGTCGATTCCAAATCGCTTTGTCGGCGTAATACCAACTATGTATCCACTTAAGTTATGTAATGAAATTTGGAGAGATTTGATGAAAATGGATGAAGAAGACTATCAATGCAGAGTTCTATTAAAATTGACGAATCGTTAGATTGCGAGTGTAACATTTACCATTAGGCGGCATAAAAGCTACCTTCGAATAAATATCAGACGTAAGAGGTATTCAAGACGTTTTACTATGGCCATTGTGTGTACTTGATTACCGTATAGGTGAAATCACGTAACCCCTCTCTATTAGTCTGCATGGCTTAACCATCTCATTTTAAAAATATTCGGTTATTTGGCGGACTATTTACCGTTTTCAAATAGAGGAACCTAGATAGGAAGCTAATGTCACATATGGTCAAGTATGAGTAAGAGCCACATATGGAAAGGTACGCTAAGTAACGGTCCCATAGTGATGACGTGATTTTAAAGGCAGGTTATCAAACGCAAAAAACGTTCTGGTATTTTTCTACTTGAGAAGAAGCCCATTCGAATTGAATGTAACAGTGAACACAGAACAACAAAAATCTCTTAAATGAATCGCGTTTAAATCGCAGTAATCACTTGGCGCGTACTGAATTAACTGAAGAGTTGTCTAAACGAACGTAAAAATTTACAAACCATACGATATTGCCGTCGTCATCAGTGGCGAGGGGTTATCACGGTGGCGAGTTATTGGTAGATGAAGAAAAAACTAGGCCGAATATGTTTTAGATTATTTTTCTCAGCGTCGCAACCTTAAAGTTTTCTTTCATGTCTTAGATGCATTCAAGTTTAAAGAAAGTCGGAAATATTCCAGTATAATTTTTTTGCGGAGTTTTCAGTAGGGCGATAAAACGCGTGAAATTCTAACTAACACAGTATAATATTTGTCTACGGCTTCTGATTGTCGATTTTGAGTAGATTCATGTAAAAAATGTTTTTTGGGAACAGAGGCGGATAATCTGGGAAGTTATATTAAAGACTTTGATATGATAATTGAAATTTACGTGATATGTATATATAACTTTTTAACGAGCTAGTGGGCTATCTCAAAAAGGCTTGCGCTTCGTGCGACTAAAGGTTATAAGACACAAAATTCAGTACGGCAGCTGACGGTGCACCACGCAGTACCTCCAGTATCGTTGCAAAACCACATAAATGTTGAAGCCAGCATTAGAATTGTCGACGAATGAGACACGAAGACGGTTGATCCGAAATAGTGTGTTTCTCAAGAGAACTGGATTCCGTTGCTATTTATTACATCTTCAACAGGATCAGCAGTTGAAAATGCGGCTAATGACCTTATTTTAAAGCACCGCCATGTGGGACAAGGTCATCCATGAGAGAAGATAGGGCAACAGGCTCTGTAATTATGGAGATAATTATTGTTCAGTAGAACTTAAAGCCACTGTAAATTTTAAACTTCTTTTTCAACGGAATTATGTTCTAATACTAACCAAAATTTGGCCGACCGCAGTGATTGAATTAAAAATGGTCTAGGACGTTCATACGTCGGCTAAGCACTCTGCTTGGGTGGGACGACTTAATCGTAAAGCCTTTCTTCTTTAAGATTAAAGATTGAATAAAGCAGAGACACGCCTGACCGAAAACACTAAGCTTCCTTTTCACGAGTATCATCGCTAGATACGTGCGCTCTTACCTAGTGAAAAAAGAGCAGTTACTTACTGTGTTAACATAGTAAATCAATAGAAAATACGTAGACACCAAGAACCACTTCAACATTTCAAGTTCCAACAACTAATGGTTGTACAAGGTATTAGCTGTTGTTTGTAACAACAGTAGCACAGGCTAAATTTATATGTTTGTAATGTGACATTCTTACATATTCGGTGACAATTTTAACAGCTTACCATAGACGAGCTTAACATAGATGTATGAAATCTTCTTGAATCTACTGCGAACAGATCGTTGCGTATGGTTAGGATCACGCCAGCAACGTTTCTTTGAGATCAATCGTTTAGCCCACAAAATGCATTATGCTGTATGGGGTGTATTCCAGATTATTAGATATAATAGTGACAATACAGGATGACCGTATACGTAAAGTTACGAGCTTCATGCTCTTCCGATGGGTTAAAATCCGCTTTTTATGAATATTCTTATCATTTTGTTTTATTCTTTTCATGCTCAGAAAGCAGCAAGTCTTAAAAATATTATATTATGAAAGCTTTCCAAAAATATACATTACATATAGGGTGATCCAATAATAATGACTGTGCATCATCATTATACATTTTCACTTTCCTAACTTCCTGAAAAGTGTCAGGAAACTGATCTAAGACACGAAACTACCTACAGGCTAAAATAACAAAGTGGATGTCAGCTAGCAAGCCGACAGGCGCAAAATGATATCTTGAGTATATTGCACCAGAGCTGAGGCATCTACCAAACCTTACTTCTATTGATAATTTTGTTACGGTTACAAGCGATGACAACTACTCGATATAGGTACCAATATTATTGATTATAAATTTAACCTCGTGTGAGCGATCGAGAGGCTACGGTTGAGAATTTCAGAAGGATTCGAGTGTAGAAGTTCATATATCAGATGTACATCATGTATGCCTATGTCTGAACTTTTTATTTTTGCTTTAACATTTTCTCGAGAAGCGGCCGTTAGTATGGCAGCAGCAATTTCGCAGTCCAGATAACCAGAAACGTGTAAATGAGTAAAGATGTAAATGTATTGTGTAGAATAAATACTGTGAGTTTAGCACAGTTTGTGTCTAGATTGGAAATGGAGAAAATGGGACAATCTAACGTGCCAATGTCAAGGGAAGCAGTACAACAGAATATTTGAATGATTACGTCGGAGAAACAGCATAAGTGCAATCTAGTGACTGGCAGTTTGACCTGTTATCTAGTAGCTGTAATGTTGACTTAATGGCGCGACAGAGTCACAGCAGAAGCACAGAAAAGTGAGTCTGATTATATAGCAATTTATAAATTTTCTAAATAAAGAAGTTTAACACGGATAACTTTACGCCCTTTTTTGGCATTTTTAGGTGCAACAATATATACCCAAATTTGATGTTAAATGCTACGTATCTCCAAAGAATGCTCAAGAGGCAAAGAAGTTAACTTACCTTTTGATAGATTATTTTCAATGCCGAAAAGTTGACGCAATGTTCCCCCGTGGGAGACAAATTTGAATTACTTTTATAAATTAAATGGTACACAATATTTCTCATATTTACAGGCAACTGTTCTAGTAGTCCAGAAGCGATCTCAGGAATCCTTACAAGTGTACGTTACTCGTGAAGCTAATATGAATCGCCGAATTTACCGAAGCTTCTATTTTGTTTGTAAATCGTTTATGTTATGGTGTCGATATTTAGGTAAAGCAGGCCCGCCTATCGAGTACCATAATAGATCGTTAGATTGTAACGATTTAATTATTTTCATAGTAAAAAACAAAGAGGCACAATGCTTGCCTCTATAAAGAATGAGAAATATTTCCAAAAGTGTCGCCCTATTTTATTAACTATTTAGCACAAACAAATATGCAGTCTGGTAACCCAACTCAGTACAAAGCACAAGGAAACATAATAACAATTTCTTTTAATGGCGACGCAAGCGGACCATCTCGCTTCTGTGACATTTCCTCAAATTTTGCCCATCACTTAAAGTTCACATGTCCTCCCAGCCGCATAGTCATGTTGATTAAATTGCACACTGTTTTTATAACGAAAAATTTCTAATTTGCAAGACAAAAACAACAAAAGGGTAATACGCTACGTTACCAAGAAAAATGTGGGTCACACGATCTTTGGCGCGAAGAATTAAGGTTAGAGCACGTTCTTGTTAGACAGAAGATAGACAGGATAAGGCAAACAATCTCGAACGAAAATTAATATTTAATAGAATAATATTTTTCTTATTCGTTGTAGAGCGATATTTAGAAAACATCAGAGTTAAGAACCTCTCATATTTGTACTAAGTTTTGATCCGTAAAGATACAGCTTCTTGTTCTCGTACAGTGTGTGGAAGGAATTTAAAGTGCCTTTTATATATGAGTAGTTATTACTAACTATGTTATATATATTATTTGATTATGCATGCGTTCTCACAGATTGTGGGCACTGTCTTTGCTTTTATAGATTGTGATCTGTAAAGCTTCAGCTTGAAGACCCACTAAGAAATGCGAAATTTTTCATGGTTGTCAATTAAGGTAGATTTTTGAGGCTGGAACATAAGTATTTTTTTACTTGATAAAAAACGCAGCGTTTCACCCGAATCCTAGCAACAAATTAATGCCTTGTGTATTCGCCATCATTCTTCACGATCTTCTGTCTGTCACCCAATATATATATTCCTTCTTGCCAGATTTTGTCAAGTTTGACGTTAAAGAGCTTTTCCACTCAGGTTTTGAAGCTCTTCTGCGTCAGATGTATGATTACTTATTTCTTTTGCCAGTGATAATCTGTCCGCAAAAGGTCATCATGTGTCGGAACGAAGTCTGGAAAATACGCAAAAGAACCCATCCTTCAAGGTCTTGTAAGGCGGCTTTTACAAGGTTTGTTAAATGCGGCCTAGCCTTGTCGTCAAGAAAAATGACTTTGGTTTCCTCCATCAAGCCTTTTCGGGTTCGGATAATCTACTTCGATGTAACTAAATTGGCCGCCTAGTTCTTCTTGACATTTTCTACTCTGTAAGACCCTTTCAGTCCCACCAAACGTATGACAGCACCTGGAATGAAAATTCACTTCAATTCTGGATTAGGCATATCTCCCAAAACTTTTCATTTCTTTCTCTGCATTACATCAATGAGGAAAAACTGTTCTTGTCAGTGGTGACAACTCTGTGTAGAAACCTGAGGTTTTGGCCCGGTGCTGAGCGATTAAGGGTTAATGAATAGCCTTGTTCCCTTCTGTGCCTTACCTAATCCAGGCTCCTAAGTTTTGATTAGATTATGTATATTCCAGAGGCCTAACAAGTCAGGTGTTCGCAGCAGAAGAACAAGTTAGTAGACTACCCGAGGTCCACGAGGACCCCGGAAGGCCTACCGGAGTGGAGTTTCCCTTTCAAAGATTTCATCTTTGAATTCAGTGAACCTCTTTAAGCAGCCGTTTCACTTTAAGTTTGTACTGTACACAACACAAATAGCTTAGGCTGACTTGGCAGATCTTAACATCGGTGAAAGGCAAAATAAAGTAGATGAGATACATCCTTTTTTTCCACCTCGAATCTGAACTCGATATAAAATTTATTTTCACTGTACAACGATTTATTTCACGCAGTAGAGGGAAACCTTCGAATGGCATACAGAAGTAAAGAAGTAGTACGATGGTAGGGGAGAAAGATGGGATCAGAAACACATCGAATTTGTATTCCAACTTAATATATCACTTATGATAGTTGTGTAGTCCACCAGCATTGTTGAGTGTTTCCATGAAAAAATTAATTCGTATGTTTTATGCTTTTTTTTTTTTTATAATGAAAACATAGTTCTTGTTGTTCCATCGAAAGCGTCACGGGGTAAGGCACACAGGATCACTCCTTTTGCCTGTGTATCATTGGTAACCTACTTATGAAGCTTCGAAGACCTTATTCTTATTCTCTAGGCAGTCAAAAAGTTTAATGGAGTCAATGGTAACACCGTAATGCGCTTTTATGTTGTCTAGTTCGTCCTTTGACGGTGCCTTTCGAAATTCAAAATATCGCTGGCCTGGTACACCATCTTTGCAATCCAATGATGCTACGTATGTCACAGGGCCAAGCTGTAAGTAACAAATAATCTCCTGAGATTAGTCGATGGAACTACAACGATATCAAATTAGCGTTATCATGAATGTATGAATAAATACAGACTGGTGCTCAAGCTTGTTGTTCTTCGTACATACATTTATGCGTCCTATGATAATCCGTTTACTATGATCAGTATGATAATGTGACTTAATATGTTAATATCGTGCAAAATTAGGTCAATTTTTTAAATCAACTCAGATGCACCTAAAATTAAATTGGACAATCTTTAAACAAGTCGCTTTTAAACTGATTTTACTTCAAAAATTCCTGATATCATGTGAAAATAATATGGGATAAAACCTAATATCTCTAATGTCCATATTTTGGTTAAGCATTACCGTAACAAGCCAGTAGTAGCTCTTTGTCTATAGCAATCCGTCCTCTCACTGAAAAATCTATTTCTCCCGTACCATGTGATTTTTTTAAGTGCGAATGTCTCTTCTCAAGTACGGCCGTTCGATCATATTGGCTGGAGCTTTGTAATACAATATTTCAAATGTAGCAAGCATTTTTCTATGTTCTACTTACTTCGCTCTAGCTAGATCACATGTTACGTAAACAAATATGTATGCTATCGCTTTTTTGTACGTCGTACTTTTCAGTTTAACAATGGAAGAAAGTTTTCGCTTGCTGGTCAGCCTTTTTCCACAGCTTAGCTTATGTTTGCCTTAAATAATTACGTAACCGACTCTTTCTTAGATACTTCCTTCTTCTATCTACCAGACTACCAAAAGCCTGAGTCTTGTGCAATGCAAAACAACTCTAAAGCGGTTAAGTTAAACCGATTTTTTTAGGCCACCAGAGTTTAATTCTGGAAAAATCACTTTCTCTTAGAGAAAAACATTTTCCTTTTCCCATAAGAATTGATGTTAACTGACCGTGAACTGACGGTAGCAACTTCATTTTTATGTTCCATATTTGAAAAAAGCGCTGCACTAGCGTTCGTAAACACCAAAACGGCAACCAGCATCGTCTGCGCTGAAAACTGTGCCATGTAAACAAGTGTGCTCCATAAAAATTGTGTTTAAATAATATTGTGAAAGACGCTATTAGGTCATAACTGTTGGAAAATAATTGGCCACTATTCGACGTTACCTCTGCTATACACGTAATTAGCCCTTTACTGCCAAAGTAACACATGCTTAATAACAAAACAGGCGAGATGCGAAGCTTGCAGATGGCGCTTTAGTATCTATTAAAAGTCATAATACAATTGGATAATTTACGCCACACAATGGTATATGCTGTACAAAAATGATACAACTTTAATAGGGACGAATTTATTTAGTTTATACTGAATTAATATGCTCCGCACCTTTAATTTAAATTTGACCTACGAATATAAACCAAGAGTCGATCGCTTGCAATCGTCAAGGCAAAATCACGGTACGGAACGTTTTTAACAATCGCAACAAGATTAGTAATCGGCTGAATCCATTCTTTCTCATGGCTACGTGCGGAACTTCCCATATGGCTGTTTGATACCATCTACGAATTACTATCACGTTTTATTCTAGTTTTTTTTATTATTTATAATATAGATTCGTACCTTTTGAATACCGAGGTCGATTTCTGCATTTGAGTAGAGTATGAAAGCATTGTTCATCTTCTCACCGGGGCTAGAGTAGATTTGAAGGCACTTTGTAGTGCCAGTCTGTCCACAGGTGACAAGCAAACCATCATAACTGCCTGCGCCAAACACTGTTCCCGTGAGATGAATAACTCCATTGCGCTCCGTCGCCTTAACGATAGTTTAATTTGCAAACAAATTCCTCAATTAGCACAACTAACAAACACATTAAAAATTATGTGCATACATTCTTAGGTAATGTGCCTTTTTAAAAGACTTTCCTAATGTAGTTTGATTGAGGCGACGACAGTTTAATATATAGGTTGACGTTTTTCGTAGATAAGTTTTACAATACAGGTCCAAATTTTGAAATTTTACCAATAATATTACTATACTTATTTTTGTCGTTCTGTTTTTTTTTCATGAAGTATCAGTATGCATACGCACGCTCATATTTATTATTATTAATTTTAGTGTATCAATATGTTGTTGTCTGAAGTAGCATCCCATTTTTAGATTATAATTATTACCGCATTACGATAAAAATAATCGCTACGTTTCTTCTGAAAACTTAGAAATATTTCTTAGTAAAAGGTAGGAAAAATGTATTAACGGGCTTTCCAAGTGTATAACTCCCATTAGAGGTGGTAAAAAGGAGAAAGCCTAAGCTTGCTACTATTTTTTATCGCCTGTAAAGTAGAATAAATAATAGAATAGATAGAAGCTATACGCCTAGAGAGCCCGTTAATGCATTTTTCCCATATTTTACCAACAAGCAAAGATAATTGCGAAGGGACGCGACCTAACAACCGGAAGCTAATTCCATAGCTGTCATAACTTCTAAACTTGTTTTCTTATATGTTGACCTGCTGTCATTTTTGTAATTTTTATGGGGTTATCGACTAGAAGCTCTTGGGTGAGGACGACAATAGTCACGTCATATTTTGGTAAGTTATCACGCTAACTTTTATCTAGTCGCTGTTGCTGTATTACCCTGTTGTAGATAACACAGGGCATTGTTTTAGAAACTTCATTGCCTTGCTGTATACCACTACCGTAATAGAGAACTCGATCAAATTGTTTCAGTAATTCCTTGATCTTAATTCGGGTTCCCAATTGACCTACTTAAGTATCGCTTATTGCAAAGTTATTGATGCTGAGAGGTGCCATCCTTTTTATAAAAAAGATATCCGATGATAGTTTTATCGTTATTTCGACGCCCCGCAACAGTTGCCCTACTCATCTCTATTATCTCGTACTTTCGTTCATTACTAGCTCGTTATCATGCGGCACTTAGCCTGTTACGCTGTTCAAGTGCTTCTGTTACTTTACTAATTACTACTAATATTATTTCGCTACTGCTATAAGGAAAGCAAAAATCGAAAAAAAAAAAAGAAAAACGATTTTGCTTTCAACATGTAGACATTCGAAAACTACGCAATCTTTATAATTTCGTTCTCGCATTAGAATTTACAGGAACGCTTAAAAAGCTTCTTAGCACTATAATTATTTTCTATCAGGCATGTTTCTGTCGTAGTGTATTCACTGTATATAATATAAAAAGCTCTGTGTAAGAGTATAGATTTATCACTATTACTGTCGGTCTGTTTGACAACGGGGTCTATTCGATTTTTGCCTCTTTTTCAGGAACTTCAATGATGGGTTAAGATAGTGAGCCTGAACACGCGTGTGTGGTGAAAAATTAAAATCCTTTTAAAAGACAAAGCAAGAAGGTATAGATAGTTTTATGGAAACGTTTTTTTCTAACTTATCGACTAACTTCAAACTGGCTAAAATGGCTTTAAGTTAATGCTTTATATTTTGTACTTAATATTATAACTTGCACCTTAAATTAATATTATTGATGTGGAACGCAAGCTGAAGGCTGAATGTCGTGACCTTTACCCACTTTTATTACCCCAATACAATTTGAAAGAAAACATTTTTCAAACCAAGTTATGAACCGCTGTATCAAAATGAGCATTCCAAAATTGACTCACAGAGCCGGAAAGACAACATTAATTTTTGATACTGGTATTATCGTTGGACAGACGTTATCTCCGCAAAGAAAAGATTAATAGCACAAGGTAAAACTTTGCGTGAAGAGACGTGAATTGAACTTGCATTAATAGTTTTTAATTTTATATTACTATAAAATTAGTACTATGCTAAAAAATATTCCTACTTTCGTTCACGGGTTACGTTCATGTGTTACGCTAGGCTGTTGAATTGAGCTGTTTGAAGTTAATAAGAATAACTTTGTTACGAAGTCAAGTTTATCCTTGGCTTTAACTCTGAAAGTCTTAGAATCCAACGAAACATGGATAATGGGGTTTTACAGAGGTTCCGGTAAAGATCTGCTATGGACCGTACACCTAAGCAATAATTGCGTAATCGTATATAGTTAAGAAAAGTTCGAGTTACAGCTAAATGCAAAGTCAATTTTAGGCAGTAGTTATGTTAGTCACCTTTAGTTTGTACGGAACGTAGAGCCCTTGCTCGGCGAATAACGCGCACGTCGTCCTATTGCTCGGTTCGATCAGGGTCCCACCCGCCTCATTAAAATTCCTTTCAAGACACACTCGTCGTAACTTATCATCGCCACTATAAGGGGTGGCAGACACTAGCTGCAATATGACTAGCCACCACACTATTAGGCATATACGTATTGTTAGGGTTTGCATAGGATATTATTTAAAGCATCTGGTAAACTTTTGCTTTTTCAAGGAACTTGAACCTGCCTCGAATCGACCGTGTTAAACCGATAGGAAAGCTTGACAAAATTCCTAGAAATGCATAACGTTTGATTGTATGTGGCAAATTGATCTAGGGAATACCTTGTGCCATAAACTAAAAGTGTTTCCGATTAGCTAGTTCACTCTGGTGTCCGGTACGAGAAATACAGTTTGATAGAGCTAAAGTTTTTCTGGTCGACACTCAAGGCTACCATAAGTATATACATACGTGATCTACAGGTATATATCATATAGACAGGTATATAAAATTATGCTTATTTTTTGTTCTCCCGTCGTTAGAATCGTATCTTCTGTGGCGGGTCATCTGTTTGGTAGACGTACATGTAAAAATCTACACGCCTTAATCTTTTTTTTTAGTGTTCGAAAAATGAGAGCATAATAGTGAAGAACAAAAATTCTACAAAACGAATCTTAAGTGTTTTCTGATTTATTGCCGACGTATAGATAAAGCCGAGACTCAATAGACTTAAGTTTCATTAAACTTTTTCTTACTCTTACGAAAATTGCGTTTATTAAGTTAGTGCTGTTTAGCACTAACCTGCACCTGTTTACACTTCGCGTTCACAAACGTTTAGATATATCCATTAGTAAAACATAAATAAAAACTAAGGTGACAAAAATATAACTCTATAATGGATTGTATTATTTTATTATTCGTACTTGTTATAAAAATGTGTCAAAGTCTCTTGATGGAAAATGTAGACCTCGTACTCCACGAAGGCTAGCTAGTAGTTCGAAAAATATATTCCGACCCCGGTTGACGAAATACTTCTCTAAATCCTAAAAAATGATAAACAACAGATGTAGCATCCATGGTTTTTTTATATATTTCTACATGTGGCACACATAAATGGCTATAGATACAGGATAGTAGCCGTGATTAAAAATAGGATCAAAATTAATATTATGTTCAATCAAACTCAGTTGTCACTGTGTTACTATTATATCAGTTCAACAATAATTCGTTGGCCTTTTTCCCTCTCCTTTAAAAATTGAAAAGCATAAAATACCTATATTAATAGATTCGTCAGAAGGATTGCAGCCTCTCTAGTACTGACAGTTAATTTAACTTAGACTAAATTGTTAGTTAACTTTGACATATGGCAATATTCAAAAACTTATATATCTAAATTTTACATAGCAGTTTCATTACATACATTAATATCGCTTTCAATGAGTTTCAATTACCCTTTGCACTTTCTAAAGGTAATTTTTCACATAACTAATTTTATCTTTAAAATTATCGTAGCTTTATTCAACTGATTACTTTACCATTTGACAAATCCTACAGCTACCAGTTGAATCAAGAATCGAGTGCGTTACACTATCTTGGAATTTATCACTACAATATCAGAAGGTTTTTTCTAATCGGGCCGATAGCACAATAGTTGATGTCTTTCCGTTTGCCGTAGCATTTTGAAAATATCCTGCATGATCTCGTAGAATCTTTGTCTTTAAGCTAGGGCCAAATTATGTGACCTTCATTCTCGGCTTGAGATGGTAACTTGGCCTAAACGATGACTTCACTGCCGAACTACTGATGTTATTGAAAGAGCAAACCTATGTCATTGGCCTCTGCCGTCAGAGTTTATGTGCACTTTTCACAGGCATTATTTTAGGAGGAATTTAAAGACGTGCTTGCTTGAGTTATATACTTACCAAACATACGGCGTAAGTTTCGCATCGCGCTGTGAACTGGTACTTTTTAGTTTTATCGGTAGCGGTCTATACCGCATTTACAGTTTTAATCACTGACTGTCCGGTTACGTTGTTCGAAAGTCAGTAACAAGGTTATTTCAACATTTTTTCACCTCAGTGATCGTTTGCAAGAAAAAACTGGTTACCTCTATTTATTCGTGTTCTCTCGCCTCATGGCTGTTTGCAGCACCTGCACATGATAGAAATAGTAGTTTTGAATGATCCATCCATAGTACATCTCTTACCTAGACAGTGACACGAACGCGGACGACTAACCACGCGAGTTGCACCAATAGGATATATGAGATTTGTTGACGCAGTCAACGCTGCTGCCTGGCGGAAGAACGATTCTGCCTAGGCAACACCATCACTTGGGCCATTATATCGATGCTATGGCGTATATGTAACAACAAGTTACGGTTCGGAGGACGCTTTTGCTTTTTCATTATCTCTTGCTGTAGAAAATAGCGATGATAGAAGATAGAGCCGTAAAAACCTCTTAGGGATTGTCAAAAACGCAAAGGTTCCCTTTAGTAGATTCACGCTGTCGATGCTGCAAAGTACGTGAAAAGCTTCTAGTGGATTTCTGTCCTATGTCAAAATTGTTCTAACTATACTGCGGTGACCCGATGGATTATCTCCTAGCACAGATTATTGCCTTTCGTAACATCTTTAATTTACGCATACGACGAAAGCTCCGTATTTTTTTAGGGATATTTCGGTCAATAAAATTGGGTAAATTTCGATTGTTTGAATCCATGTGTTTGTCTCGTACGTAGTTAGTTAACAACATTTGTCACTTTTCACGACAGAGCATTTCAATATTATTGTAATATTGGTTTTATAGATATCTAGCTATAATTTTATACAAGCGAAAGTTATATAGTAAGGCAGATTCTGCCTTTGAACATTTGGATCGTCGACTGTTGCCCATTTACGAAAACGAATAGCGAACACGAATCTGCGAGACGCCACAGAATTTACTGTGGACTTCTCACAACTTAAATAATTGATCTGTCTGGTATAAATCTGTTGTCTTAATATATTAGAAATTTTTGTTTATTGGCGTTTAATGCTATAACACCGTTGCTGATATTAGAAATGCAAAGAGCGTAATATGTCTATGGCGTGTATTAACTGCCTAGAGTCGCAACTGAAATGTTACGCAAACATTTTAATCAGCCTGATTATGAGCAGTTCTTGATTTTGATTACAGCTATAAATCTTTTTAAATTATATCGAAACCATAGAAGCAGTCTTATATCCTTGCGGGTCAGGATGGCACAAATAAAAGGACAATGCGGCATCAATTTATAACATGTACGCCGGCGAAATTAACAAATATCAGCTTATTTGATCATAAAGAGCAGAGTGTTTACTGTAAAACATCACTTATTTAATAATAATGCAACAATAAACAGGCGTAAAAGTCGAGTCATTTTTTTTATTGATTATTAGTCCTACCTGAGCGTAACCTACATAGAAAAGGTGTCACCCTGTTAATGATCCTTAAAGGAAAAAGTGACATTACCGCGCCGTCAAAAAAAGGTTTGTTATAAGTTGCTAAAAGGGTGAACAGCTACTACAAAAAAAGCTCATACGCTATTTCAACGGAGCAACATGGGTTCCGAAGAAAATTCTCCACGGAAACAGCGAGCAGCATCCTGATGGCCGACGTCGGGAGAGCACTGACCACATTCTATTAACCGCTGTACGCGGTGTTCGTCAACCTCAAGGCAGCTTTTAATTTGGCGCTCAGGAGGAAGTTTGTACTCATACTGGCCGAGCTCAGTGTCCCACTGAATGTGCTCAACCTTAGCGCTGCGATTCTACATAAAAATAGAATAGCCTTCTATGACGGAGTGTCGCCTTTCATACAGACAATTGGCCTGCCTCAAGGCGAGAATCTGAGGTCACCCTGAAAAACAAGAGAGAGAGAGACATTTTTGCTGAAGAGCCTTCCTGGTCAAATATGAAGGTCGACAAAATGTAATTTATATGTAGACGACTTGATGGTGTACGGGCTGAACAGGTTCCCGCTATAAGAGCGGCAGTGAGATACTGTCAGAGGACTCTAGCCCTGATTTTGCCATTAACAAACCATTGCTGCTATCGTTCTCATGGTAATAATGCAGGTACGCGGCACGGCATGAGCTACTTTGGAGGCATCTGCGACCATATACAAGTAATACGCAACAATTTGGTTGTAATCGAAATTTAACCGACAAGGGATACGTGTTTCATCGATGCCGCCCCCTACAGAGAGGCAAATACAATTTGGTTCTATTGAAAAAAGTAATTCAAAGTTTTTTCCGTGAGCAGTTTGCCCCGAATAGTGAACTGTAGCTCTCAGCCTACCAGGTCAATCCGGAGTACTGCTCGCCTGGTAACGCGATATATAGTACCAACTGCTTGGATAAGCTTGTATAACTGAGATACTTGACGAAAATCGATTGGCTAGTTTTATATTGGCAAATTGTAATCAAGGGAAAACTTTCTCAATAAATTTGATGGTCTTAGGTTCTGACACGAAGCTTCATAGCAGATTATAATGGTATATTCACCAAGTCGGTGAACGACAACTGGATCCACCCGTTCGAAGATTTCTGCTGCCAGAAGGAATCCGCTGGTATCATTTGGTAACAACGAACCTTTGCACCGGACGGCTTTTTGGTGTAGAAAGATCCTCATGTAGGCTTGATTGACGTCGGCTGAAACTGCGACGCGAAAATTCAACTAGAAGACTGACTGGATCTGGTTTCAAGTTGAAGATCGTTCTCTGAGATAGGCTGTAGAACAACCAAATGCGACTTACCATTTTCTTGTGTTGCGTGAAATCGAAATGACTTGATGGTGAGACATGTAGTAAGAGCCAACTCGGGCGCTGCGTTCTGACGAGTCTACGTTGCTGGCCCCATTTTCGACGAGAACCGTAATTTCCAAATGACAGCGTACGAGAGCAATAGCGTCGCGACGCAAGAAGCGTAGTTCGAAAAAGAAAAGACGATTGTGGGCAACTTGCATGTTATTAGCAAGTGTCGAAATCCTAGTGCTTTGCCATCATATACGAGATTCTCGTTGAATTGTTTGATTGTTTTCTCGTCTTCAGCATAAAATTCGGCTGTCATCGGATCCTTGACCGCTGGGTTCCGTTATCCGTAAATGTGCTACGTCACGAGCCGGCATCATACAACATGGAAGTGCATAACCTTGGCTCGCAAAAATGACGAGTTAAGTGGCTCTCTAATGATTCACCCGAAGAGAGTCCCAAATTCTTTTAAAACAATTGGCTATGGTACCTTTATGCTTATAGTAATGGTTGATGACTCGCCATTATCGTAGTGGATTCAGCTGAAAAATTGTCGATAAACATGCAATCTAGTAATTAAGCTAAATGTTCCGAAATCCGTTGATAAGTCGTTGTTATAGATCCTGACTACCTGCAGGCGCTACCGATCCAAAGTGGCTGTGTGAGAACTTGCGAAGGCTTGCATTTCTAAAATAACTTTGTGAATTGGCAAAGCATTGACTAGCCATGGGGTAGCAAATATGAGAATATTCAGAAATACGCATACGGGAACCGAAGAATTTACAAAAGCCGCGTTATATGGAGGAATGACCAAGTTTAAGTAGCGCAAGCAGAGGCAATTTACTGCGTTTTTCAATCTGGGAGTATATGGATATATAGCAACGCTTGTGCTTAAAAATTCAACGTTTCTCAAAAAGTCCCTACCGTTGTATGTCCAGGAGCACGACATTCATGTACTCTACCTGGCGCTGTTACTGCAAGAACCATTGTAATTATTACTAACAATTTCACCAAAGAATTTAGCACATGCGAGACCACTCAGCGTAACAGTGTGTTTCGTGTCAGCATAGTTCATAGAGCACTGGCTTTCGGATAAGGAACTTAATCGACCAGATCAGTACCTTGCCCTATCGCCGTAATGCCACCCGGTAGCTGTCATAGTCGCCGGGCTATCTGATGGAAGGCATATTAGGTAAGTTGTGCTTGTCTACTTTTGAGGCTAATTTACTCATAATCTGCGTCTACTGTATTACAAACTAAGTAATATTGTAGATTTGCAGCTTCCTGACAAGGCTCTCCCGCAATCTACTAAGGGACCTTCGTAGTACAATGAGTTAATCGCAGTTCCACACCCACAATATTGTAATACATCGCTGTCAAAGGTGTCGCTCTATACCAATCGGAAGCAAAGGCATTGAGTACACGATTTGTTGCTGTCTTTTCTCTAGGCCATTGGCAGAAGAAGGTGAGACGCTAGGGTTAGTTGCTGCCTTATTATTTCCGTCAAGAGCGGCAGACTGAATTTCCAACAAATACTGGAGGCGATAATGGCATCGAGCTGTTTCTTTCTTCAGATTCATTACATTTGAAAAAATCGGTTTCGTCATTCTCCTACAAGAATCTAGCATCTTCCCTGTTCAGGAGTTTTTACCTGTCGGTAGATGTTGGGCTCAACTTTCTTCTGTGGATGTAGTGTAGCTATGAACAATCGCTTTAGTGCTAACTGGTCTCCGCTTAACGAGCGTTTTTTTCCGCCGTGACGATAAGTTGAGACGAGAGCAGACTAACGGCGTGAGACTATTTACACCGAACGACTGGCTAACTGTAGTCTAAGGCCATTTTGTAGCAATTGTTCCGTCGCTTGTACATATGTACGAGACATGCCCAGTTCACAAACGCACTGATGATCCTGGGCGGATAGCGCCATAAGGAAAAATACTACAGAAAAGCAAATTTGCCTGTTGATCCTAGAAATTTTCTTATTATCGTATTACTATATTTACTATTACCTGTCTCCGCAGACTACGTAACTAATAACGATTGCTACAGCAAGAGACGCTTTACTTATGAAAACAGCGTACTTGATGGTGACTAAAAGTGAACTAACTTTTACTGGCAACAATCATGAAAAGCTTGAATTGATTTCACATTAAAATTCCCTTATGGAACCGTATTGAGAAACATTCTCGTTTGTGTTTTTTAAAAAATTAAATGCGTAGTTCCTTAATGCACACACGGTGTTTTAGCAGATGTTGCTTCCCCAACTAAGTGAGAGACCTGGCGAAAGCAATCGAGCTCGTGATTATCCAACAGTAACAATAGCTGTAGGAGACAAACTATGAGTGTACATACACCTATAAATTCATGTGGAAAAAACATGCAACATTAAATATCATAAAATACTTCAAAGGCAATCAATAACAGGCTAAACTTCATTTACATGGAATTGGTCATTAGTTACTCAAATGTATATTCCTATGATTAATAAGCTTCATTAAGCGGGCTGTCGACTAGCAACCAGAAGGGCATGATGGGGGTCCAAA